GGCCTGACAGCGTGCTTTGCGATGCGTGTCTTATTTCTGAGAGAATTCGCAAAACGTGCGAACTCGGCTGCTTCTGGTAGCGATTACAAGCTACTGTGCGAGTTTCTGCGTCATAATTTTTCGTGTGGAAATGTTGAACGCGATAAGGATAATTAAAAAGTGATCCTTAGATTGCTGCATGACTCGAAGGGTTTTGGACGAAGTGAAACTCTGATTTGAGACCTAGGTAACAAAGCTCCGTGTGCTACTTTTGCATTACGCACACATTTCTTATCTGTAGATTATCTGCAGTGCCGATAGTGGCTCTCCTGATCCTTTTCTCATTGATAATTTTTTAGCGCTACAGCTGAAGAAGCCCTTCGTTTCTGTACTTTCCCTCGTATTTCACTGTCCGGAAATGATCCTATTAATTGACATTTCCCTGCCTCTGAATCCTTCAGGCTTCTTTTAATGAGGTGAATGATCTTTTTATGACCTCTCCATGGGTGATTATTTGACCTAAAGACGTGCTGACATCTGAGTAGTCAGGACGCCATAGGGACTATAGGAAACCGGTGCTGGTGAAAGCATGTGAGGCGTCCGCGTGATTCTGGACTGGATATTCGTGACTTCTGCCTTAGACCGACCATGGCCGTGATCATGCGATTTATGAAATGGGCTTCACTGAAAGCGTTGAAGTTCTTGATTTGGCTTCGACGATTTGTTTTGCAGCTGTTGCTATTTTCGGAGATCTTCACATTGTTTTGACAATGTTGTGACTCACCGTGTTCGGTGAACATTCAAACAAATTATTCAACAAACAAATTATTCATTCATATGTTTTTATCTGATAGGAATGCCTGTACAGCCCTCAACTCCACAAATTTATCTCCTCCAGTCACAGTGCGTGCCTTTCACAAAATGGCTAAGCATTGAGATGTAGTCTTTGCTGTTTACGAGTTGCGAAGGAAGGCATTGCCGATTTTGCTTACGCTCGTCACAGTTACACAGGAATTACGAACGTATGCACTTTTTGCCAACATCCAATACAATGTGTCGACTGAGGACTAAGTTCCCATGGGACCACCCTGAAAACAATCACTGCTCGTTTGTCGGTGTGCCCCGTGATGAAGCAATCGGGGCTGTTTTGTCTGCCGGGCCGGGCCTGTACGTGGGATTACCGCATGCATCATACGGTGTAGTAATTACTGTCTCTGTCCGGCCCGACCCGTGGGGGGAGGGCTGCGATTCATTTGACAACGCGCTATTGCGTGCCTCGCAGCCTTTGTTGGGCGTTGAGTACATGGGAAAACGCACAGCGAGGCATGCGTCTACGTGTGTAGTCTTGGATTATGAGGTCGGCGGTGCGCCGGCGGCCGTACTCGATAATTTGTTAGAGAGATTCGTGATAAAAGTACAATGCCTTCGGTCACAGATTATTGATTGTAGGTGGCCTCAATTGTGATGTGATTATGGCAATCATTGGTACAAATAGTTTACATTGATTCTTCAGAATATTTCATGAAAAGTTCAGCTTTATGATTTCAAGTGATTCTCATTCATGTCATTCTTGAGAATTGTTCGTTTGTATCGGAATTCAGCAGCGTTGTTATGTCAGCCACCTTGGTGGCCGCTCTACTCAGTTCAGGCCCATTTCCACAGTAACTCTGGTACTGAATTTGGTGTCCGGGCGGCGGTGGCTTCAAGCGTGGTAGTTCTATTGACCCATTCATGGGTGCAGCAGTCGCCGCCGCGGTCTGCACCCATTTCCGGTCAACACCGGAAGCGGCTACAACCAAGGCCCGCTCCAACTGATGGTCAGTCAGCTGATTCCATGACGGAGTTGGGTAGGTTAGGTTAGCGCTAGGTGAGACAGTACAGCACATGTTGAGGACTTGAGGGTAGACTTTTTTTAGATTTCCTTGATCTTTTTTCCGATGGGTGTTCCGATGGAACGATGTCATCGACCTCGTCGTCTTCGCTTAGGCGAAGATGTGCTTTTCTCAATCACTCTCGCCTTTCTATTCTGTAATCAATTCGAGCAGCAAGTTTCAATGACTACGCTGTACCGGCCAGTTGCCATGATGTCCGAGTGTTCACCATCTGCCGTGTGTTTCCTTTCGTCTGAACTACATAATATCTCCACTGGGTGGAGACACTGATCCACACAGGTGAGAGTGACCTGGTCACGTGTCACCCGTATCCAGTCCGTGCTGTGGGTCATGTGACCGGACCGGTACGTGATCGGTGCCGCCGCCGACCCGCGGCCGTCGGACGTGATGACGTGTGGCCGCTCTCGATGACGCCGGCAGCATGATGACGGCGCAGAGCGTGCCGAGACACGGCGCCAGGGTCTGATGACGACGGCGGGAAAGGGGTTGGCGACGGGGCTAGCTGACCTCAGCAATCAGTTTAGCTAGCAGGATGCCAGAAATTGTAGACCAAAGGCTTGCTTTGATCAATCGGCGGACTTGCTAGCTGAGTGGACTGGAAAGGCGCTAAGGCGCCTTTCAAGTGGTACTTTGAAGCAGAATGGCATCATCGCAGAAAGATTGAAATATCTGCCGCATTTAGCAGCTATTATGTGGTATGGCTTTCTTCCTTCCATGTCCACTCAGCTAGCGACTGCTATCCTACTCTCAGGCACAGCGCACACCTCTCTCGTCTATGCCCGTCCTCCAGACGTCTCGTGCGACACCCGACACCTGTCTGCTCCCCCTCCACCCCCCCCCCCCCCCACCGAGGAGGCAGCTCTCAGCCAGTGTTTGTTTGGTGTCTGTTCGGTTTGGCAGCGGGAAGGTGTCCGGTGAGTGGCCCGCTGGGACAGCCACACGACTCTGTGAGGGCTGTTGGCGCACTCCCATGGTGGTTGTGGAAACTAAGGGACAGACCTCAGCCGCTTGGGCAGTGGCTCATCTCCAGAGTTCTGGCTGGCCTGCCCTGTGCGCTGCACGTTACGCTCAACTTTCGCTGGCAAGAGAGGCCTGGGGAAGTTGCGATTGGTTACAATCGAACGAGATATCTGCATCTGGCGCAATTGTCTTAGTAGCAGAGAAAATGTTTGATCCAGCTTGTAGTGTCCTCTTATAACGGTCTGCGGTGTGTACTCGTGTTGACACCACATCGTACGCGCCTGGATCACTTTCACTACGAAACGTAAGACGCCTTATTGCATTCCTGGTATGTGTTTTAGAGGCTCACGGCCTTCGAGTGCAGGCGCCCAATTATTTGTGGCATTGCATGGTAGCGGATCCATGGTATAGCGGTCTTAGCAGCGCTAAATCTTCGTGTGTGGTTTTGTTGGACTGGTTTACCTACAAATGGCCAAGGATTTGTAAATAAGTTTCTTTGCTGTAAGCGGTGATTGCTTGATGTATGCCAAATACCCTGGAATGTCGATTTGTTTTGTATTGAGCAATGAATATAAAGCCGACTGCATTATTCTTCAATAAATATTTTCTAGCTTACCTGTTTCCCGTGTTACGTTACCTGTGAGTATTCGCCAATCTATTCGGCACGAAAAGAATGATCTAGGTCAGATATCATCAAACCCTAAGTGACCGCGTCATCGATCCGCGCGAAGCGCGGTTTCCCTACCACGTGCTATCACGCACATTTCGCTTCTCTCCTCTTCCCCGCAGTCCAACGCCCTTCCACTGAATACCTTCCAAAGATGGGCGCTTTGTCGGGTCTCCCAATGACATCAACAACCCACCTGTGCCAGTGAAACTGAGCGCTGCCTCAGGACGCTGATGCTGCATCTCGGTGACCGTCCCTGCTGGCCACTTTCGCAGTCCGGTGTCACCGTCTGTCGGTTCATAGACGTCGCACGGTTCTCTGTTTAGATCAGTCACGGTGGAGCTCGATTATCGGTCAATAAACGGCACGTGTCGGCGGGCGGGCCAGGTGTTCGTGTGACGTCTGGGAGGGATGCCGCTGCTGTATCAGCGTAGGGTATGTCGGTAGCGATGCCTATGCATACTCACCGTCTCGCCTACTCAGAAAGGAGCATGGAGCGGTAGGATGGGCCGGTGCTGCTGAAGATTGTTTCATTGCTATCAATATTCACAATCGTCGGTGAAGGAGGGTCTGAACGGTCAATGTTGTTAGTGAATAAACACAGGTAAAGACATGGGTGCTAAAGGTTTGCTTGGCAATATGAAGTTCTACATGAGGTGTAGTTTAGGCGCCGATACCCCATCGTGGGTCCCCTCGGCCACTGCGGGTCCCCACCGCGGGCCCACGACGCGTGCGGGACCCCTAACCAACCATTACGCAGGCGGTGTCACGTAGCACGTAGTGCGTGGCGTCTGGTTTCAGGCACAGCCCGTCCGTCGGACGTCTGTTCCGCCGATAAACGGATGCAGATTGTCCGTGAAAGTGACCACCGTCCGCCGGCGGGCGTCGGCCAGCAGACCCGGCGGGCGTGGTGGATCCAACCGCCGCCACCTGCGCTAAATCGCAGACTTTCGGCGGCGGCGGCGGTCTCTTCTAATTTGGGTGACGGCGGCAGTTGAGATGCCGCGGAAAGATCGATCGGGAGATGACCAGGTGTACTCCGGCGGAGCGGCCACCGAGCTACCCCGGGCTCACTTTCATGGGACGCTCATTATCCCCCGCTGGGGAGACTCGATCGGGGTGCAGACTGGCCCGCTTTCCATCGGCTCGACTGATCGACGGGATCGGGTCGATTGCATATCGCCCGCCCGCTGCGCGAAGGTCGATTGCCGGCGAGTTTCGATTATCTTGTCTGATTGTCTGCCAGATAGGAGGCTCAAGTGGAAAGCTCCTAGTTTTTGTTCATGGCTCATTGATACGTTTTAGGTCTTCCCCCTCTCACTTTTTTACTTGTTATGTCGACAAGACTTTCTTCCTTACAAAGATAGAAATGTCATTACTTTTTATGCACGTAAACGTTTCACCCTACATGCTGCCATGCACTGCCCCGTTTTATTTATTGTTCTTAATTGCGCTGACAGAGCCACCATTTAACGACTGACATGACATCTCATCTGTTCCAGGACCGCTCCCGGCGAGTTTTCGCCACCTGAAAACGCCGGTGAGCTTCTCGATGTCATCCCTGCAGCCTGCCGGGTTCCACACTCCGGAGACGGCGGCCGTGCGGCTGCGAGCCGACCGACCCTACAACAGCCTCTGCAGGAAACGGTAAACACCCCGGGGTTCAGGTCAACTTCTGAGGTCGCTTCCTTGAGGTGGCTTTTTGGAAGATAGTTTTGACGTTTCTGTCGACGTTTCTGGGTGTCTGTTTAGGTGTGCTTTTTGTTTTGTGAAATTGTTGTTCTACCATTCTCTGATTTTAAGAACGTCTCTTCCTCTTCTATTTCTATTGTCCGTTTCCTTTGTTCCCTCGCTGCCGAGTATTTTCATTCTGTCGATAATCCATCTCCCGTGTGTGGGTTGCGGTGTTTACCCCCGGCCGTATGCCGCAGCGCGCGCGGTAACCTGACCGGCCGGCCGTGCGCTGGAGGATGTCAACATCCGCTCTCCCCCACCGCCGGGTCTGCTTTGTCCGGCTGCCGCGCTCAACCTCAGCCTTTGTCGCGGCTCCAGCTGCTTGCCCTCAACTCCAGCCTGAATCTAGGCTCGGTTGAGTTACATTTTTAGTCAAACCCAATCATGTCCAGTTCCTTATAGTCGAAATTGATGTGAAAATGATCCAGATTAAAATCCCGATCCAGAACGATTAAAAATGTCCAGTTCCATGTCATTTGTCTAACCATCTTCTGTTTCAGCAATTGCTTTCACATTTTTTATTGAATTGCAGGCTCAAGTCCACTGCTAAGGGCATGCTAAGCCATAACCATAGCAGTAGGCTACTCTTCATCCGTAATACAGTAGTCTATGCCATAGCCTAGACAGCCAATCTCAGCTCCTCCCACTCCCCTGTCCCCTGTCTCACTGTCACCGTGCCTCTGTCGTCGCGTGATGCTTCTTCCGGCGGTGGGCGTCATTCGTTTGCTTGTGTTGGCCGTCTGTTGGTCTCTGGCGCGTGCAGCCTGTCGCGTCTGCCATCACCACTCCGCCGGCTGCGGGGGCGTGTCACCCCCGCTGTAAAACAGACGCGTGTCGGCGCTTATGTCAGTCGGTCTGACGCCACCTGAGAACCTGTTCGACGATGTCGCGCACAGGTGCCGACGTCCAAATGTCAGACCAATTAGGGGCGTGTTCTGTGTATGTAAGTGGCGGAGCGACTGGTATGTGCTTTGGGTGAACAGTTAGTCGATGGGTGCCCGGAATTCTGGCTGGGAATGTGAAGGTATTCGATGGCCAACGGACTGACTTAGGAGACGGAGACTCCTCATTCCAGATGGTTGAAAAGTCAGGAGGCATGGCGAGGATGTCAAATGGTCGTCAAAGACTCATGTCTAGTCCAATGAGCTTGTTTGGCTGTGATTGATAGGAAGATCTTTATCAAAGCCTGGAATCCACTGCCCAATGCATGCAGCTCATGTTACAGCCAATTAAAGACGAGAGATTATTGTTGATAGGCAGATGTAATATGATGCCTGGATGCATATTTTTAGATAAATCACTGTGTCACGAATTGCATCTTAGTTTTGTCCAACTAACATTATCGATGTACAAAAATCGTTTCACCACGCCGAGATGTCAACTCTACCCCGCTCCCCTGCGCAGCACCCAGTGCATGACCTGACCTGCCGTGTGACCTATGTGACCGGCAGGAAGGAGCGCAGCACGGCTGACCCGTCCCACCGACAGTCGTGGGGCAGTGAGGTCAGCAAAGACTCCTTCTGGGAGGCACTCGAGCCCAGCTACGCCTTCCTCATGGCCGACCAGCTTATCGAGTCCTGCAAGGTGGGAATATGAGAGTCCTGAGGATCATAACTCCTCGTAGGGACTTGGAAACCCGTGGGGCTAGGCTTGGATGTGTTTGTGAGAGATTCATGAAATGATATTTAGAATTTAAACGAGGAGGGAGTGGGACATTGGATGCATTTGGGACGGGCCGGCACATTATGTTTCTTAGGTGGGCGACGCCCATGTGTAAGAATGCTGCGCGGTTTTTTTGACGGTCCTGCGACTGATATGCTAAATGAGACAGAACCAAGGTATCCAATGAGCCATCAGCCGGTGACCGGGACCGGTCGCTCCTTTGAATAGAGGGCTACCAGATGCTAGCTGTCAGTCGCTGATGCTAACATACGAGTCTGCCATTATGCAAAGACTTCGTGTCAATTATGTATTAACTGGGCCCTTTGCAATTCAATAAGTCTTCGATAGTCTATTAACGTGTCTGCGATGCTGGCATCAGCCAGTAAATCATCGAACTACCTTCAAGAGCACTCCCTAACGGCGCTTCATTTGCATTCGTCAGATGCTCCCTCAATGGCCTGCAGAGGCTGCAACATTCAACCCTCTCCCATCATGCATCTGAGCTCTGCACCTTACGCGCAATCCTCGCTGCTCCTTGGTTCTGTCCTATTCACTGTCGTCCTTTCATTTATCTCCCGTCACTGCACTCCTATTCATTGCAGTGAGATACTGCAGGAGTGAGCATTTAGCAGCGCTGCAGTCTGTAAAGGAATGAAGGGATGGGAGGGACGCAACTGGGGGGGGGGGGGGGGAGGATCTACCTGATGTTCAGGTGGCGCTGCTGTCAGGCCTGGAAGCCGTCAGTTTACTGAAACACAACCCTTCTGGGATGTCTCATGTCTCTAACATCATGCCTTACATTTCATCGTCAGCATGAGCTCGTGTGTCTTATTAGTCTGTCCACGTGCTCACCGAAGTGAGAATGTCCCGGCGATGTGACCCTGGGCCCTGGGGTGATAAATGAACACCAGGTCAGAGGGCGGAGGGGTGCGCCGTCTCCGGGGGCAGTCTGCCGTCTAGACGCGGCCTGCGGTTGCCTAGCAACGGGTGACGTCACGGCGGACTCGGGCTGTGACTCATGGTTCGACAGGGAAGATCTTGGGGAAGATCAGGGAGGGGCTCTGTTGATTGTTGATGTGACCAGTGGATGTATCAGTATGTACCGTATAGCTTCCTTGTTTGGGCTTGATATCGCTGTGCTGTATGTATGTACTATCTTTGTGAAGACTCACCTGGATTTAAGAGGTACTCATGGGTAGTTTTGTGATGTCAAAAAGATATCAAATGGTCAGATGGCTGCAACTGACTTCCGCCTGGTACATGCCGTTAGTCCGTATGTATTAGGAATGCAAAACATATTGCATATGCACATTACACCTTCAGGCAATATGCAGCTGTTATTCACTGTCCAGAGTGTTCGCACTACTGTTTGCTACTGTCTAGATTAGGAGAATAAACATCCAACCAAGTAGTTCTGTAAAGCTACAAGGCACAGTGAAGCGACCAATCCCCGGTGGTCTTTTCGCAACAGGTACCTGGAAGCTCAGTAGTATAGTTTTATGTTGGTAGTACAAGTCAGTGCAATGAAAGGAAAATTGTCGTTTGTGGGTGGCTGCTTTCAATCAAGCTTTGATTGTTGTGCAGTATTTTTGTGTGTCCCAAACTTCCTCAGTGAGGGATTAATGTCTTTTGTTCATGACGTTGCGCAATTTTCAGGGCTGTGCGCTGTGCTATGCAGTGTGACGGCGAGTAGTAGCCACATGCTTCGATTAGTTATGTTGACTACTTCCCGCTGAAGCTCACGATACATCTCATTCGCTGATGCCAACGTAGTTCAGCCTAGTCTCTCGTTTTGTGCCGTCCATTGTTTCCCAACTCTAACGACACCTTTCGGCTTTTCCTGCATCAGTTGTTGACCTTAGGACCCTGTGAAGTGCTGCAGGGCGTGTAACAACCATTTAGCCGCTGTTTGACTCCTGTTCAGTCACTTCCTTCCTGTCAACTGTGTGTAACGGGCGGTGCTCTCTCTCGCTCAGTGTTTGCGGCTGTCGGAGTGTGAGGAATTCTCCCGTCGGTCGATCGGTCACCCTGACCGTTCTGCCCCCGTCCTCCCTGCCCTCTGCTCTGCCCCTCGGCTACCGTCAGCTGTATTTGCGTTTCGGTCCGTAATTGCCATCCATTCCTCACACCCAAATGCCGGTCGAATGTTTTGTTCGCTCCCCATTGCGGGCCAATGGCCTCGTGAGCAGACTGGTGTTTTGGGACTACAAGCGCGCCACCCAGCAGAGATGTGGATAGCTGGGAGTGTTCAGGCTGGTGGATAGGTGGCGCCCTAAGCCAGCTTCAATGGAGCCTAGCACCGAGGACGCTGTCCTACACTCTAGCGTTGGTGTGACCCCCGCCTCACCCACTATGTTATCAGTTGGCCAGTGCCGACCTAACCTGACCTACCCCTCCCTTTCCCCTTTCATGAGGCCAGCGGCGACCTGACCTGACCTCCCCTCTCCCCGTTTCAGGAGGCCAGCGGCGACCTGACCTGGGACGCCACCGACGTACCGGGCATGGACTCGACGTGGTCATACGGCGAGTTCATGGATCAGTACAACGAGCTCTACCAGTGGCTGAACGAGATCCAGGTGGTCATCTACAGCTCGCCCAAGAACATCACCGATCGCAGACTTCGCGAGGTACGAGACGGCGGGCTCAGAAACACCCTAGAACGCCGTATTTGAGTCTGTGGATATAAAAACATGTCCGTAAAAACGGGTTATATGTAAGCCACGGCATATATGCAATATGCATGACCTTTAGGCATATCCATACTAATAATGCTAGGGCAAGACTGGTTATACCGGTTATTGATGTTAAACTTCCAAATTTGTTTGTTTTTATTTCAACTTTGTTTTGCATTGGCCATTGCTTATTCCCAGTGCGTTGTGTTTTTACTGTCTGATCCCGCGCGATTGGAGCAAGCCATCCGCGCCGCCATGTTTGTCCAAATCTCACGTAGCGCTGGGATAGCACATGACTAACGACTTGGTGTCACTCCTGTTATTGATGAGCCCCGTCAGACTGAGACCTTGAGCTGTCAGGGGTGGTTTAAATGCCTGTCTCTTTTATTAAGACTCCACTCACTTGGTTTTTCACGTCTAGCATTCAACTCGTGAGAGGCTTGAATGGTGGAATTCGTGCAGTGCAACTTAATAACGAGTTGGCTTTTTCAAAGTGACTGTTAATTTTTGAAATTCTAGCAGATGTTTGAGAACTTGTATTGTTCTAAAGAAGCTTGGACCGTTTGTCGAAAGACCACACAACAGTGCCTCATTTAGAAAAAAAAAACATGCGAAGGGAGATCAAGGCTTCGAGAGGATTACAGTTATAGTTGCACGGTTTGACAACAGAATGGAATGATGTATTGGAATATGGCTCGGTTGTCGAGCACACTGGTATCGGTGTAAGCTAGGAGTTCCCGAGTAATTTCTTTTGGCAATATAAGAGGATTGTGCTTGATCATGTCGTGACTCAAGTTGATCACTATCTTGACGTTCCACACAAAAAAAAAAAATATTTGTTTGCTGGTATCTTACCCAATTTGTTCCTGTTGACCCGTCGGGAAGGAAACAAGCGACGCTGAATCACTTTCTGAGAAGATATCCTTGACATTTGACAATGATTGGAAGCCACTTTTCTGTTGCCGTTAAGGCTCATCCAGCGAATACCACCGCCCCTGAGAGACTTGAAGAAGGCATGCGGTTCTACAAATACTTATGGTACTTAAATGTGGTTTCAGCGATACTTGTTTAGCCTGGCTTATATCCAGAAGGTTAGCTATATCGGTATGATGCGATGAATCACCCTCTTTCCTTCCATCTCACTGGTAAAACTTGACCTATTCTCTTCTTTATTTCCCATAATCTCGGTCATATGAGGTGAAGAGGCAGCGACCCACCGCTGTGAGACTATCACTGAGATGACCTGCAGGCTGCAACATCCCCATTCGTCACTGATTTGTCGCTTTTCTCAGATCCATCGCCACTTCTCTGACCTTTCACTCTCCACTTTGACCGACCTCTGCTGGTTCTTCGCGCTAGCAACCCGCGTCTTTATTTTTTTTTCATCATGCTCCCCGAATTGTCCAATTTGCACCTATTGTCTCTCCCTCAGAGGCCTTTGATACAGGACAGATGACCCTGAGAGGCTCAGAAAGGGGAGGGGAAGGCTGGTCCTGGGAATGGAGCTTTCCTACCTTTACTCTGACATGACGGATGTCGGATATTCTGTGACCTCTGCTACAGACTCAGCCTGTGTCTGTGCCCGCCGCTATACCCGCCTATCACTTTCGAGTATCTCTAACTTTTCTCTCTCGCCCACAGTCTCACATGGAGGAGATTCAGCGCAAGTCGTACCGTCGCACTCTGTCCCTCCTCCCTATCGACCCCTCTCTGACCTCTCTCTTCCTCTTACAGTCTCACATGGAGGAGATTCAGCGCAAGTCGTACCGTCGCACCCTGCTGGCGGAGCAGAGCTGCCGACTCCAGAGGCGGCAGCCGGAGCTCCGAGAGGAGGTCCAGTGGAGGCTGGCTCACCTGACGGCCAAGTGGGACACCCTGCTGCAGTGTGTGCGGCCGCCGTCCCCGCCCCCCGCGGGGCACACCGCAGACCCGGACATCGCCGATATTGGGCCAGGTGAGAAACACCCCGCTCCCGCTCCCTCCTCTCCGCCGTCACCGCCGCCAGCGGGGCACACGGCAGACCCAGACATCGCCGATATAGGGCCAGGTGAGATACACCCCGCTCCCCCCCTCACCGCCGTCCCCACCCCCAGCGGGGCACACCGCAGACCCGGACATCGCCGATATTGGGCCAGGTAAGATACCCCCCCCCCCCCCCTCCCCTCCCAGTGGTTCATACGGCCGACCCGACATCGCATATATTGGGCCAGGTGGGATGAAGTAACGATGCATCTGTCAACTAAATGATGAACCGGACGTCGAGCTTGTTGCTAATCCAACTGTAACGCAGATGCGTTGCATTTTTTTCATCTTTCATGCTGAACTGCAAGCTGTGCCACAAGCTGAAACACGGCCATCTGCGAGCGCCGCACAGACACGGTCAGCCGGCTAAATCGGCTGTGATACCCTCTCTCCATCCCAGCTGGCGTCCACACAGACGGCGCAGTAGGCTCTGACAAACAGGAGTCCTCTATAGATGACCACATGACCCCACTTCATGAGAACCCGGATCTGAAGCCAACAAATAGCATACCGAAACGCGCCATTCTGCCAGCCTCGAGCCATTAATCAGTTTAGCCTTTGGAAAACAAGACTCTGTCCCACGCTCGGCACCCCGCCAGAGAACAAGGAGAGGGGAGTGCAGACCGGCCCTGATTTGAACCAAAACAAGAAAGGGGAGCGGAGACCGACCCGGGTTGTACGAAAACAGGATGAAATGGAACTCGGTCGCCAACGACAAAATATAGGACATCTGGCCGGACCTGACTTCAAAACAAGGGGAGCAGAGGGCCAGGCCCGCCACCTGGCGCCTCAGGCGCCGTGAGCGCCGGCGGCGAATTCCACCCGGTCGCTGCGTGAAAGGGTGCGACTGCCATGGCCGGAGGGGAACCGAACTTTGTCAGCAAATCACGAACTTTCGAGGGCGGAGCCGAGTGCAGCTTCTGAGAATGGAGGACGGAGATTGGACAAGGTGATGCTGCCCGGCCCTCTGAAGTATGACGTCATCATAAGTATAAGTTGATGAAACGGAACTGAAAAGCTCTCTCGGACGACGCATTCCGCGCTCTCTGGTCCTCGCTCTCTCGGACGACGCATCCCGCGCCGGTGGCACTCTCGGCCCACGTCTCTCGTCTGACATCGCGGACAGCCCACGAGACACCAGCGGCTGGCATCACGGCGCCGGCGGCGGCTCTGGCCGCCGGGCCGGGCGCTGGACGGACACGACCATCATGTCAGCGACTCCATCTCAAGTAAGGTCACGCGGTGAACACGGGTGCGCACCTAGTCCCTAAAATCCTTCAAGTAACCCCCCCCCCTCGTTACTGCTATGTGAGCCACATTATATTCCCCTTTTTAGGTGTCGTCTGCAATGTTTTAGGCCATTCAGTTTAGGTAGTTAAATTTATTCTTGGGACTTTCAGTCTAGGTAGCTTAAGTTCACAATTCGATTTCGGTAAACTATGTAACTGTGCGCGTGGCGCGAGACGCGTGCCGACGTGGACCCTCGTCCGGCGCCCCGTGGTGATTAAGGCGGACGGAGGGGATTATACACCGTGGGGAGTCTGGAAAGGGACGGGCGACTGTGTACCGCACCGCGCGGCTTGTGGGGCTCAGTTGATGGGCGGCCTGGGCCCAGAATGTTTCTTTTAAATTTGACGTGTAAGGGAATTTAAGGTGTTGCGTCGGAGTATGTAAATAAATGGGACTTGTAAATATTGAAATACGAGTGTGAGTATAGTGCTGAAGGGCAGGGATCGGAGGATGGAGCATAAAAGGCCATATGCCAACCCACAGTCGGGAAAGAGGTCATTTCCAAGGTGTCTGGCCAGAGCAATTTACAACGATCAGTTTTCTTTATCTGTTTGATTTTACACAGTGCACACAGGGATTATACGGGGAGCACAGAACACACACAGGACCTCCCTAGCCTAGCCGATACTGGAGCTTCTCCGGTTGACTCCTAAGTGCCCTTGCCAGTGGATTTCCTGGCACTCCATCCTCCCCAAATTATCCCACGGTCCAAACAATAGCGATTACACACAACATACACAGGACCTCCCTAGCCTAACCGATACTGGAGCTTCTCCGGTTGACTCCTAAGTGCCCTTGCCAGTGGATTTCCTGGCACTCCATCCTCCCCAAATTATCCCACAGTCCAAACAATAGCGATTACACACAATACACACAGGACCTCCCTGACCTAACCGATACTGGAGCTTCTCCGGTTGACTCCTAAGTGCCCTTGCCAGTGGATTTCCTGGCACTCCATCCTCCCCAAATTATCCCACGGTCCAAACAATAGCGATTACACACAACACACACACGACCTCCCTAGCCTAACCGATACTGGAGCTTCTCCGGTTGACTCCTAAGTGCCCTTGCCAGTGGATTTCCTGGCACTCCATCCTCCCCAAATTATCCCACGGTCCAAACAATAGCGATTACACACAACATACACAGGACCTCCCTAGCCTAACCGATACTGGAGCTTCTCCGGTTGACTCCTAAGTGCCCTTGCCAGTGGATTTCCTGGCACTCCATCCTCCCCAAATTATCCCACGGTCCAACAATAGCGATTACACACAACACACACCGGACCTCCCTAGCCTAGCCGATACTGGAGCTTCTCCGGTTGACTCCTAAGTGCCCTTGCCAGTGGATTTCCTGGCACTCCATCCTCCCCAAATTATCCCACGGTCCAAATAATAGCGATTACACACAATACACACAGGACCTCCCTGACCTAACCGATACTGGAGCTTCTCCGGTTGACTCCTAAGTGCCCTTGCCAGTGGATTTCCTGGCACTCCATCCTCCCCGAATTATCCCACGGTCCAAACGATAGCGATTATACACAACACATACAGGACCTCCCTAGCCCAACCGATACTGGAGCTCCTCCGGTTGACTCCCAAATGCCCTCGCCAGCGGATTTCCTGGCACTCCACTAATCAATTTACCAACGGTCCGCACACAAGCAACACACTAGACCTTGTTGCACACGAAATATATGTAATTTTATTCTACATGGACACTGCAAGGGATGGAACCGGGGAGATAGATGATGCACGTCACGCCCCTGTGCGTGGAGAATCCACCGACGCGGCCATGGGTTAGGAGGGAGATGAGACGCGAGTAGAGACGCGGACTGTACAAATAGAAAAATCGGGTTTCCCGAATGGCGCTAAACTCGGACAGACCCCACTAGATATAAGGCCTCGATTGAGTAAGCCCTGGATGCGTGCAATAAGTCGCGAAATTAAACGTGAGGATGAAGGCGAGTCGGGCACAGACCGCCGAGGAGGGTTTCAAGAAATGTTACCCGGTCAGCCTCGTGTCCTGGCTCGGAGGGGACGACGGGCTGTAGTCTGTCTAACCTCTGGCTAGCGGGACACGGGACCAGTGGCCCGATTGTTCCGGCCCAGGGTAGGCCTGGGTGATAATTAAGGTCACGTGGGCCGTCGCCTGGGATGTGTATCGGCGGGTGGGCCGCCGCGAGATGACGGTGTTCCGTCTCGGATTAACAGCCTCGGAGGCTGGGCAGATTTTAGGCTGCCGGGCTGGCCCGGAAGCCCTGAACTATGACTGGAGCGAGATGCGGTCATCAGTATCACGGATGGACCTTAGTTACCCAGCCCGGTTTCAAAAAGATAGGTAGGCCCGCTATCGGTCCCTCAAGTGGTCGGCGCGGGACGTCATTTGAAGAGCGACATAGATAGTTTCGGAGGTGGTTAGGACCCCGGGCGTCTTAGCGAGGGAATCGTATGCCGCCGGAAGAGTAATGCCCCGCGAAGGAACGTATAATGCCGCAAGACGGGGGTGAACATTAGATACCGAGCATTCGAGTCGGGTGATCGCAGTCAGACGGTGCTGGCCACCCGCAGTCAGTCGAGTAGCTCCGGCCATGCTCTGGTCCTTTCGAATAGGTCTGTGACGACAGCTTAACTACCAGCCACGGATAGATAGGGCTTTGGACGCCTATGTGCTGGTAGTCGACGATGTGTGTTGAGTGCAGGATATCCCCGAGTGGACCTGCGTGCGTGGAAGACGCGTGTCGTCTTTGTAGTTAGCCGACGAGAGCTAACCTTTTTTTAGGTCGCCGGGTTGGCCCGGAAACCCTGAACTATGGCTGGTGCGAGATGCGGTCATTAGTATCACGGGACTGTACACGGAGAGGAATCGGAATTCCTAAATGAAGCTCAGCTCGGATAGACCCCACTTAAATAGTAGGCCTCGCTTGGGTAAGCCCTGGATACGTGCAATAAGTCGCGAAGTGAAGAGAAAGGATGAGAGCGAGTTGAGGATCGATTATTGAGGATGAGTGCATAGCCGACGAAGGCTAATCCGTTCGGTTGCCGGCGCGGGCCCCATAAAGCCGTGGCTATACGGAGACGATGCAGGCAGCCCGGAGGGACCTAGTGACCCCGCCCGGTTTTAAAAGATAGGTTAGGTCCGCTATCGGTCCATTGAGTGATCAGCGCAGGATGACATTCGATAAGTGACGTAGGTAGTTTCGGAGATGGTTAGGACCCCAGGCGTCTTAGCGAGGAGACGTATGCCGCCGGTTAAGTAATGTCCCGCGAAGAAACGTGTGATGCTGCAGGACGGGGGTGAACATTAAATACCAAAGCATGCGAGTCGGGTGATCGCGGTAAGTCGGTACTGGCCACCCCGCTGTCAGTCGATTTACTCCGGCCGTGCAGCGGTCATTTCGGTTAGGTCTGTGACGACAGCTTAACTACCAGCAACGGATAGATAGGGCTTCGGGCACCTATAACGCTGGTAGTCGTGGATTGTGTGAAGCCAACGGAGGCTTACCCGTTCGGTCGCCGGTGCTGTTCCAAAAGCCGTGGCTATACGGAGACGATGCAGGCAGCCCGGACGGACCTAGTTACCCAGCCCGGTTTCAAATTTTAGATAAGCCCATTGCGGGCCGTGGTACGCTTAGTTTTC